ATAAGTGATAAATTCACATCAATTAAACAATGAATGGGTGGGATTAGACCAATATAACATGTGTTACCTAAATGTTATCTAACAGAAGGCCTCTATGATTTATATAGTGCATACAATCCCATTTCTCCTTGAGCCTCCTCCATAAAAGCAGAGAGGGCTACTCACAAGTTAGCAAGCCTTTTCCTCTCCCTCCCACCCCATCTTCAGGGCAAAAACCACAGCGAGTGCTGCAACTCCGTGGAAGTGGTTCTCAATCCTGACTGCAAGGGAGAATCTTTTAAAAATTGTAAAAAGTCTAAGGATCCTTTAAAAGGCGCAAAGCTTGAGTCATATCCCAAATGAGTTACCTAAAACGGCTAAGGACAAATGTTTTAAGAAAATCCAAGAATCCACAGAGGCTCACTTTTATTTAGCTCCTTTATAGTCACTTTTTGTTATTTTTTTAAATTTTTTGTTATTGTTAATTGTTGACCCTGGGTGATACAGAGTACACTTCCTTGGAGTTTTCCGGCCTATACGCTTATCAAAAGTATATCACCAGACTTTTTCTTCTCTGGTATCACTGGGTAGGTACAAATAGTCAATCTTTAGGTTAGAACTGAGTACATTTGTGCCAGCTAGGGACCCCAATTTTTTCCCCCTTATAGTCATTGTCATGTGTGCCAGCAAGTTCATACCAACACATGCCTAATGCTCATAGAATCCTGTATTTATTTTTAAAATGAAAGAGTTGGGTCTAACAAAAGGAAGCATCCTACAAATAATCGAGACATACTCATTATATACTATTTGCTGCATTTTTCTCTATTAAGGTGTACCATGGGACAACAAAAAAATGCCAAAAAAATAATTCTGTCTTGGAAGAATTACAACCAGAGTGCTACTCTGAAGTGAAGATAACAAAACTTTATAACATGTACTTTGGATATGTTGTCAGGAGAAAGCAGTCCCTAGAAATGGACGTCATGGCTTGGCAAAGTGGAAGGGCAGTGAGAAAGAGGAAGACCCCAATGAGCTGGATTGACACAATGCTGCACTTTGGGCTCAAACACTGTGAGGATGGTGGAGGACTGCACAGTGACTTGTTCTATTGTACACAGATAAGGGCTTCAAAGAGTCAGAACTGACTTGATGGCACATAACAACAAATGGTCACTTTCCTGGCTTTCAAATATAGAAAACGATGAAATGTATATACTTACATACTTCCATGTTACCCAAAGGGGGAAAAAAATCTTCTCTGTGGATAGAACAATTCAAACATATGTAAAATCCACCTACCAGCTCCACTAAAAATTTTGACCTTCTCTATCTCTACCATTTCATAATGTTTAGTAAAAAGCTTCTTGTAAACCAAAAAATGCCCTTGGTAGTGCAGAGGTTAAATGGCAGGCTAACGACCAAAAGGTTGATGCATCAAACTCACCAGCCACTTCTGTGGAAGGCAGAGTGATCTGCTCCCGTCAGGATTATAACACCCAGGAAGCCCTGTGGGGCAGCTGTACTCTGCCAGATAGTCTCTACACACTGGAGATACTCAGCAGCACACACAAGAAATAAATGGTTGCATGTGACTAGATTAAAAAATAAATAAAAGAGTGACTATACAGATGCAATGAAACTAAAAACTAGCTGGCTTGAAATTATTCTAAAATATGACTACAAATATATATTGTTAGAATTAATCCACTTCAGATCAAGAGGCACATCCTTGTACTCACAGCTTATACTTCCAGATATACATGGAGCTACACATCATAACTAAAAACAGTTAATGAATTTTCCAAAGCCCACACAGATAACTAATCACACAGAGAAAGTTATATACCATCTCATAAAATTCTATACCAAATAATTATTTTTCAGCCAATGTGAATGAAAAAGTTTTAATGTTATTCAGGATTTTTTAAAAGCAAACCATATCACCGCATATGCTTGAGTATAAGCCAAGTTTTTCTGCACATTTTTATGCAGTTGTTGTAGAATTAAGTGCCTCAGAAGATATTCAGGTGGGCTTATACTCAAGTATATATGGTACTTGCTTGACATAATGTAAGCAACCAAATAAGCAGTTACTAAATAATCACCCCAGATCTGTTATAAATGTAATCAAGAGCATCTAAAGCAGAAATCTATGAAATGCTTCCAAATACTTTTTTCAAGTGACTCCTCCCACAAGATTTTACTTGCATGAATGTTAACACAAACACAAAAGTACAAGAATGTACGACTGGGTTGTTCTTCCTGTTATCACAAATACTGATGTGCAAGCTATTCTGAATCGGGATTGTCTACCAGCCTGACACACACACACCATACACCACACACCACACGCCGCCGCCACCGCCGCCACCACCACCACCACCACCACCACCACCACCCCTGACCACCACCCCTGATTACATTTATGGAAAGCTACCATTCTCGTACCAAACCACTTTTCCTGGTCTCCCTTGGGGACCCTCTGGTATGCACAGAAAACTCAGATGGTGCTTTAGCAGGTCATGCGGGGGAGGGTTAAAGCTGGCCTCGACTTGAAGACTGAGATCTCCGATTTCAAAGGGAAGCCACTAAATGTCTGGACCAGAGTAATAGTCACTACTTATGCAACTGGCCATTTATTGTGCAAATCTGAACTTAACCCTTTTAAAACATGTTTCCTCCCTCCCCTTCATAGACTAGGTTGAATTCCAGCCTGCCCAGTGATAGACAAAGTGTTACACATGTTTTAGTCTCCCAGCTGAAAATTTATCACTTTATTTTTATCCCCATGGCTGAGAAAAGTTGCAGATACCTATTTTCTTGAGAAAGAGCTGTAGAGTAAATAAAATTTGCTTGTGGGGAGGGACAAATTCCTATTTGGATGAATAGGAAAATTAAATTGCCGCTTATTTTCAAACTAAACACAGTAGTTTACAACCACCTCAACTGATAACTGGTTCAGAGTATAATCTTGTAAGATTCATTTTTAATTTACTTTAATTATAGGAACAAATTATATATAACCAAGGAGCAATAGGCCAAGGCTATACTTTGTTTTTATAAGGCCAACATTTCCCAAGGTTGCCTGTAATAACTAGCAAGACTTTTTATAATCAGGAAGACAAAACTTTCACCAGTGTCTGAATTAAGAAAATCCTGATAGGATTTTACTGTTTATGTACATAAACATAAGTAGCCCTGGTGATGTGGGTTAGGTTTGGGGCTATTAATGCAAGGCCAAGGTCACAGGTCAGACTCACCCACCAGCTGCCCCCACAAGAAAATGATAAGCCTGTTTGCTCCCATAAAACCCTGACTATGAATCTGAATCAAACAGATGGCAATGGGTTTGGTTTCTGGGTCCATAAACATATAGTGAAAACCCCACGAAATCTAATTATTAATGAGAATGAATCAGCGCTCTATCTGTTGGTAAAGAGTGGGAGGGGATGCTTGCGTTACACTTTCCGTACTTGTGCATCCATTAGGAGGTACACACCCAGCAGTATAACCTGATGAAAAACATGGCGAGGCATCAGGAGATGAGAGATCACGTTACGGCTTGAAAACGTATACCCTTAGGTAGTCAAGAGTGTCCCCCAGTACTTTTACTTCTCTCCCAGGGAAACCGTCTAGACCGCAGCGCAGGTTGGGGAAGAAGAGGGCTGGTGGGTCTCAGTGGAGCCACTTACGAGATGTAGGCTGGGTAGCCGAATCCGATCAGGTTGCAGAGAAGAGAGGCTCCATAACCGAACACCAGGTACAAGGCGACCAGCCCGATGATACCTGGAGACACGAGGGGAGAAGTGGGTCGGGTGCCCGAGAGGCACTCACGCGGGCAGTCCCTGCCCACCCCTCCAGGCCGGGCCTGTTCGGGCGTTTTCCTCCGGACTGGATTGGAGGAGGGAGAAAAACCCAGCACACAAAAGGGTAGGCCGGGGCCTCCTCTGGATGCGTGGGGTCTGGGGACACCCGGTAGTCACACCTCGGGCCCTTCTTCCTTCCGGGCCGCTGGGGGCGCGGGGTGCCTGCAGGGTCTGCCAAGGCCAAGGCC